AATACTGGTGTGGGTTGCCATGTCCTCCTCCAAGGGATCTTCCCAACCCAGGGATTGAACCCGCGTCTCTTGTCTCCTGCTTTGGCAGGTGGGTTCTTTACCACTAGTGCCACCTGGGAAGCTTCTTTCTAAGAAGAGCTCTCTTGGACCTCATCTTATTTGAGGCTCTCCTCAGCTCACAGAGAGTACAGCCCCACTCCTGGTCTCTCTAGAGATGAGGAAATCACACCAGAGAGGAATGTGGGTGCACCACCAGGGCAGGAGCTTCCGTCAAGAGCTTGGAGTGGGAAAGGTGTTGCTGAGCTGAGAGTCACGGATGGAGTGAACAGCCACCATGGTGAAGGGAATTCCAGGCCACTGGCCTCTAAGTCATTGTACAGGGTCTGTGAAAAACCCCAGTCTGTGTGACCTGAATAGCCAAGGTTTAGGTTGGAGGGCTGACTGGAGAGGGGCCGGTCGTGTCACTCAGGGAAGGCCCGGGTGGACTGTGAGCCAGGCCTGCAGGGCTCTGGCCACGCTGCCCTGGGGGCCAGCCCCCAGCACTGCTGACTCTGAACCTTGTCGTGGCTGCCAGGCTTGGCAGACTAGCTCCTCTCCAGCTTCAGTGGCAAGGCGGAGCCAGGAGGCTGTTCCTGCGGGAAGGGCCACAGGGCTCTGCAGGGAGGGCGGGCAGGTCCCTCCAGCCTGAGGAGCCATGCAGGCTGACTACTCCCTCTCCAGGTCTCCTGATGATACCTGGTTTAATTCCACAAAGTTCGGCTCACCACATCCAGCATGACATCTAATCCCGACAGACCTGGGTTTGAATTCTGCTCCTAGTTCAGCTGTGTGCCCTTGGGCAAGTCATTTCATAGATCATCCTCTGTCTCTAAAGCAGGGAAGACAGCATCCACTTTGCAAAACTGTGACAGAGAGGGAAGACCACCAAGAGCCCCCAGCACAACAGCGAGTAAGTGGGAGCCATTGTTGTGACCACCCTCTCGTTGGCTTACAGGAAACAGCAACTGCTACTAGGCCCTCCTCCCTTCTGAGAGAGCCCCAGAGTGGGCTCCCTGAGTGAGTCGACGAGCAAGGAGGGGGTCTTTCCTAGAGCTGCAAACCTCCCAGGGAGGGCTTGGGCTCCATATGCACTGGCGCCCAGCTGCCCACCAGCTATAGCTGGGCTGTGGTAACCAGGGGAACCGTGAAAGCCAAAGCTTTTACTCTTCACCTCCTGCACTCCAGGCTGTGAGACGCCCCCCTGCGCCCGCCCTCAGGCAGGTGAGAGGCTTCCTCTTGCGCGCCCTCTACCTGGTGACTGCGGACTCTGTCCTCGGAGAGGTCAGACCACATCCAGGCTCCATCTGCCTGTGCAGCGGCTCTAACACTGTTACTGCCTGGGCAGGCAGGAAGGCCACCGTGAGTGCTCGGGCACAGTTTCACCTCACGGCAATTTGTAAATGCCCTAAGAAACCAGCTCTTAAAAGTGGAGCGCTTCTAGGTGGGGAAACTGAGGGAGAGAGTGGGGCCACTTGCCTACCATCTTACCCCACTGCTCTCCTCCAAGCCCTTTTCTCTGGAGTAGAAGTCCAAGCAGAGGTGACTGCCAGCTAGCCACAGGGGTCTCACCTCCGGCACAGGACAGGCTCATTTACTTGACTGGGTGGCCAGCACTAGCCCATGAGCTGGGGCCACGGGAACTCAGCCAAGAGGGCATCACAGCTCAGCAGGCTGAGCCTGGCCAAGAAGGGTAGCTGTTTCTAGTCCAGCAGATGCAGACTGCTAAGAACAGATCCTGCAGCTCCTGCCCTAGAGATTATAAATCATGTAATACCCTCCAGCCCATATGTGACAAACCCAAGAATGACCACTTTGCTTTCAAAAACTCTACAACCTGGGAGCCCCAGCACCTAGCACACGGCCAGGCGGATCTAAGCTTCAGTTCCAGTGCCTCTCTTATGAGTGCGTAACCTCAGGGAAGTTTCTTAAACCTCTGAGCCTTGGGTCCTACACCTGTAAAATGGGCCCAGTGATACCACCTCACAGGGCCACTGGAGGGGTTAAAGGAGCCCAAGAGGGTGGAGGCCTTACGGAGTGCTCAGTCATGGCGGCTGTGAATGAGTGTGCTGCTGGTGACGGAATCCCTCAGATTACACCCCGAAACAAGCTCCGTTTGACACTGTTCACTTTATCATCTTTTCTGACAAATGCTGATCTCCCCACGAATAAGGAGAATGTTCTTTGTGGCCTGGGGGCAGGCAACCAGCCCATTTAGGAGCGGTGACCTCACCAAGAAATTCATTTGAGGCAATGGGAGCCCTTGAACTGAAAAAAATTCTCTTCCGTTTTTCTTCTGGACATCGAAAACAAAACACAGTCACAAACAAAACCCCTTGGAGACAATACCATTCACCATTCACCATTGCAACAAAAAGAATAAAATACTTAGGAGTATATCTACCTAAAGAAACAAAAGACCTATACATAGAAAACTATAAAACACTGATGAAAGAAATCAAAGAGGACACAAACAGATGGAGAAATATACCGTGTTCATGGATTGGAAGAATCAATATTGTCAAAATGGCTATACTACCCAAAGCAATCTACAGATTCAATGCAATCCCTATCAAACTACCAACGGTATTTTTCACAGAACTAGAACGAATAATTTCACAATTTGTATGGAAATACAAAAAACCTCGAATAGCCAAAGTAATCCTGAGAAAGAAGAATGGAACTGGAGGAATCAATCTGCCTGACTTCAGACTATACTACAAAGCCACAGTCATCAAGACAGTATGGTACTGGCACAAAGACAGAAATATAGATCAATGGAACAGAATAGAAAGCCCAGAGATAAATCCACGAACCTATGGTCACCTTATCTTCGACAAAGGAGGCAAGGATATACAATGGAAAAAAGACAACCTCTTTAACAAGTGGTGCTGGGAAAACTGGTCAACCACCTGTAAAAGAATGAAACTAGAACACTTTCTAACACCATACACAAAAATAAACTCAAGATGGATTAAAGATCTAAATGTAAGACCAGAAAGTATAAAACTCCTAGAGGAGAACATAGGCAAAACACTCTCCGACATAAATCACAGCAGGATCCTCTATGACCCACATCCCAGAATATTGGAAATAAAAGCAAAAATAAACAAATGGGACCTAATGAAACTTAAAAGCTTTTGCACAACAAAGGAAACTATAAGCAAGGTGAAAAGACAGCCCTCAGATTGGGAGAAAATAATAGCAAACGAAGCAACAGACAAAGGATTAATCTCAAAAATATACAAGCAACTCCTGCAGCTCAACTCCAGAAAAATAAATGACCCAATCAAAAAATGGGCCAAAGAACTGAACAGACATTTCTCCAAGGAAGACATACAGATGGCTAACAAACACATGAAAAGATGCTCAACATCACTCATTATCAGAGAAATGCAAATCAAAACCACAATGAGGTACCATTACACACCAGTCAGGATGGCTGCTATCCAAAAGTCTACAAGCAATAAATGCTGGAGAGGGTGTGGAGAAAAGGGAGCCCTCTTACACTGTTGGTGGGAATGCAAATTAGTACAGCCACTATGGAAAACAGTGTGGAGATTTCTTAAAAAGCTGGAAATAGAACTGCCATATGACCCAGCAATCCCACTTCTGGGCATACACACCGAGGAAACCAGATCTGAAAGAGACACGTGTACCCCAATGTTCATCGCAGCACTGTTTATAATAGCCAGGACATGGAAGCAACCTAGATGCCCATCAGCAGACGAATGGATGAGGAAGCTGTGGTACATATACACCATGGAATATTACTCAGCCATTAAAAAGAATTCATTTGAATCAGTTCTAATGAGATGGATGAAACTGGAGCCCATTATACAGAGCGAAGTAAGCCAGAAAGATAAAGACCATTACAGTATACTAACACATATATATGGAATTTAGAAAGATGGTAACGATAACCCTATGTGCAAAACAGAAAAAGAGACTCCTATGTATAGAACAGACTTGTGGACTCTGGGAGAAGGCGAGGGTGGGATGTTTCAAGAGAACAGCATTGAAACACATATATTATCTAGGGTGAAACAGTTCACCAGCCCAGGTTGGGTGCATGAGACAAGTGCTCGGGCCTGGTGCACTGGGAAGACCCAGAGGGATTGGGTGGAGAGGGAGGTGGGAGGGGGGACCGGGATGGGGAATACATGTAAAAAAAAAAAAAAGATACACTATGGTTGTGATAAAAATAAAAAAATAAAAAAAAAACATAAAACCCCTTGGAGGCTCTCCAGCAAGGGACATGCTGGTCAGGCTCAAGCGCCTGGGCCGGAGTTTGAGGGGCTGACACACACATGGGGGAGTCAGAGGCCGGGCCTGGGCCTTAGCAAGGCTGTGAGGGGTCTGGGGCAGGTGGCGCATCCCTGACTGCTCGTGGGGAATGAGAAAGGGGCCAACATTCACGTGCGCGGCCGGGTGGATGGTGGTGCCCCAGCTGGGAACCTGGGAGGAGCAGTAAGCTGCGAGCAAGACATCTCACTCAGCTTTGGACCTCTAAGTTTGAGATCCCTGAGGAATGGAGCCCTGGGTCAGGGAGCTGTGTCTGGGAGTTGCTGGCAAGGAAGACAGAATTCTGAGCCCCACTGTGGTGGGGAGATGAGTGACGGGAAGGTACTAGTCCAGAGTCACACAGGCAGTGTGACCACTTCTCTCCTAGGGTCTAGGGCTCCTCTACAAAAGCCCTGGGGATACCGGAGAGGAGTTGGGGGGCTCCCTTGGTGGATTTTCAAGGCCAACCCAAACCCAGAGAAGCCACTCTGGGGTCCTCACCTGGACTAGTAGCCAAAGGAACACCTCTGCCAACTGGAAGTCTCAGTGCAGGTGGTTTTTATTATTAAAGCCAAGATTGGAAAATGGCTGTCACCCACCCCCCACAACCCTCCCACCCTCCTCCAGACCCATCCCTTTATGTCCCAAGAAGGTGGAAACTAGATTTGTCTCGAAAAGACTCAGAAACGCTCATGCCTAAATGAGAGAATGAAGACAAATGAGACAGGCTCAGATGGTGGTCTGTGTGTGATTGTGTGGGCTCCACCCGGGATTCCTGGAAAAGACGGCTTGGGGGTGGGGCTGGAGAGCCCCTGCTCACAGTGCTGTTCCCGAGGGTCCAGGGTGGGCGTCGGGAACAAAGGCAACGGAAGAGGCTGAGCTGGCCCCCACGCTCTACCCTGCTGAAGCTGGGCCACAGGCTGGTTTTTGTAAAAGTGGTTAAAAAAAAAAAACCCCAGCCATGAGCACCACCCTCCCCTGAGCAGGGTGAGAGGAGGCGCCAGCTCTGGGCTTTGAGGTCTGAGGCATGTGGCCTCCTGGCCTGGCGTCACCTCCCTGGAGGCAGGCAGCACCCTGAGGGAAGCCAGGAGGGCTCCTGGGCCCCTCATGTGACCCGTGGTGGCCACCGGGGCCCCAGGGGAGCATCGAGATGGCTGTCTCCCCGCCTCCCTCCCAGCCTGCCTGGAGGCTCTAGGCTTCAGGGACCCTGTGCAACTTCTGCTCTTTGGATTCCAAAGATCTGAACTTCTCCTCCAGCACAGGCGCAGCCGGCTGGAAATGGATGACAGGCTTGATCTGAAAGACGGTGAAGCCCTCCCGGTTCTTCTGGTTAAACAGGCTCACCCTGTGCTCCAGCTCAGGGCTGGGCTGGGCCGAGCCCTCTGGGCTGGACTGGGCAAGGGGGGCGGAGTCCAAGGCCCTCTGGGAGGGGCAGGGGTCCTCCGACAGGGGGGACAACAGGTCCTGGACTGTGGCCTCTGCCGTATGCTGCTGAGATGGCGGCGGGGGCGGCGGCAGGGCAGAGGGGCTGGGCCCGGAGGACGGCTCCTCGCGGGCGGCGCTGCAGTCCGTGGAGGAGCCCAGCGTCTGGCTGCTGTCACTCTGGGCCCGGGTGCCGGAGCTGCGCGTGGAGCGGGTGGCACTCTCGGAGCTGGCGCTGGCACCGGTGCCATCGCTGCCGAGCTTCAGGGGCACGTCGATGGAAAAGAGGTCAGAGGAGACGTTGGGCTGGTGGATGTCGATGGCGGCCGTGGTGACCACGCACACAGCTGGCTCTGGGACGCCGCTGTCTGCAAGAAAGGAGGGGTGTGGGTCACTCTCCACCCCGGCCGCACCTCTGCGCCCTGATGGGGGCGGGGCTAGATGGTGGGTGTGCCCTGAGTATGAATGGCTTTGCTGGGAGAGGCCTTGGGAGATGGTCCAGGTTCCCAATATTCACCACCTGCCCTGAGGGAGAATTATGCCTCCCTATCAGGTGCAGACATGTGACAGGCCTCAGCCAGTCACCTGCAAGAAGTGACCGGTGGCATTTCCTGGAGAAGCTACATAAGCCAGCTGTGCTCTGCCCGTGCGGTCAGCATTGTTCTAGAAGGCATGACAACTGTTCTGTTGTCATGGAGATGGGGTAGAGATAACAGCCTGGGCAAAAAGCCCCAGGTCAGTGTGCCCTGGCCCTTTGTTGGTTTATTTAAACTGCTCAGATGTGGGTTTGTTGTCATTGCAGCATAACTGAGCCCATCCTGATTAACCAAGCACAGTGTGCTATGACAAGGAATCTGAATGTCATGGTCAGCAGGACTCAAAGTTTTAAATGGGTCCAATGTGAGACTCATGACCAGAGCTGTGCCCTCAGAAAACTGATGAATTTCTACAGGATGCATTCTAAGCAGAGGGTGGAGGACATCCCAGAATGTCTTCGCTCTAAGTGAGAAGTATCAAGGATCTGAATTACATAGTGCAGGGATAGTGTGAGCAAGGTTTCTCTTTAAAGTGATAGGGAGAGTGGGCTGGGAGAGAGGTTCAGGCTAGAGATGGTGGTCTTTGAGATCAGCAGGTTGGATAAGGCTTTGGAGGAGGAGAAAGGGAGGGAAAGAGGCCTTAAAGGGGCTAAATTGTAGAAAAGACAAAATTCAGATGTATTCAGCATGACACACACTATAACCTTCTAGCCTGAGAATGGAGTTTACAAGGATTTAAGGGCTCAGTAGTCAAGAATCTGCCTGCAATGCAGGAGGCCCGGTTCTTCCCTTGGGTCAGGAAGATCTCCTGGAAAAGGGAATGGCAACTTACTCCAGTACTCTTGCCTGGAAAATTCCATGGACAGAGAAGCCTGGTGGGCTGCAGTCCATGCGGTCGCAAAGAGTTGGACACGACTGAGCAACTAACATTGCTCACTTTTCAAGGGCTGTGAAACCCAAACCTGACTCAAGACACTGGCTAAGGAGAAACAAGATCCCAAAGGACTAAGTATTATGTTAAAACTTAGCCTTTCTCATAAGTGAAAACCACCAGGTCCCCTGAGACTTTCTGAAGTGCAAGAATGCAACATAAACAAGGACAGGCCAGTGCGTGCTGCTTCTCACACCCAGTTATGCATTCTCTCACCCCCCTCACGCTCATCCTGTAAGGTTCTCAGGTTGGGAAGTGCTGAGGTCATTAGATTCCTAGGTTCCAGCCCCTTTCTGCCCCAGGGTCCCCCATGCACATCCTGGAGCACTCCCATCCCAGCACTTGAGCTTGGGCACCAGAGTTTGCTTGGAACTCTGCCCGTGGTTATGGCTCATGGGGGCCAGGAGATGGACCGCCTGGTCGAGCTGTCCCTGGCCTAGATGTTAGGGGTTGCCAGGGTCACCTCTGGCGTGGGGCCACACAGAGGTTCTGGTACACACGGAATAACACCGACACAGACTTACCACTGCTGGGCCCATTGTAGTACTGGCTGATGTAGCTGTTCATGTCATCTTTCACCGTGGCTTCTGCGGAGGTGAGGACAGAGAAGGGTGAGTGTTACGGCTGGACAGCCCAGGAGCAGGGGCTGTGGCCAGTTCGTGCTCCGCCCCCCAGTGCCTCTGCCCCCATCACCATGAGGCGGCACCGGTCTCCCACAAGCTCCCTGCCACGTGGTTCCTCCAGGGGGACCACATGGCTCATCTGCCCCAGTGCTGGGCTGGGTATCAGGGACCCAGGTTCTGATGGAGCATCCGGCTTGCTGTGTGATATGAAGAAGCCCTTTCCTTCTCTGCCTTCAGCTTGCCCTTCTCTGAGATAAGGGGTGTGGAAATAGTCACTTAGGGCTTTCCCTGCCTGGATGGCCTGAGTCTCTGAATCCACCTGAGGTTCTCATGGTCACCAGGAATGCTCTCCTCAGTGTAAAAGCCTCAGAGTGCCATTTCAGCCGCACACAACCAGCTGCAGAGGCTGATCATGGGCGACAGCCCCCTCAGTCTTCCACTCCACCCAGGAATGGACACAGGCGCTGGGCACGCCCAGCCTTACCCTGCTCCCAGCACATGGTAGGTGCTCAGTAAAGAGTTGCTGAATGAATAACCAATGAGAAGGTGTAAAGCTATCCAGGTCACGGGAGATGTCATGGGAACAGGGTCTCAGAGTTGGTTCATGGTTCTGATGGGGTGGGAAGGGATGAGAGAGGAGAGGTGAGAATGTCAAGAGAGGCCTGAGCATGGTGGGAGGGGGCCAGACAGCAGATGACAGGGGACACCAAAGCCATCCTAAGGAGCTCAGCCTTGCCCCAAGCACAGTGAGGAAGCACAGGAAAGTGTGAACAAGCTCAGGTGTGAGGCACGACCAAGGGTGCGGGGAGAGTGGTCGGGAAGGTGTCAGACTGGACAGGAGAACAGACAGCAATGCCCACGGGAGGGAAGACAGGCCCTGATGAGGCTGAAGGCGAGGATGGGGGTCTACACCCCCAGAAGCCTCGGTCTGCAGGTGACGGAACCTGCTGCTCTCCGTGGCCGCCTTCCTGACACCTGAGATCGCTGCAGAAGCGTGTCTGCCCTGACACGGGGAGCCTGGTGGCACCACACGCAGCAACCTGGCTCTTAAAAGCTTTTTTGGCCTCTTTTGATCTTTAAATGCCTGCGGCCAGAGGTGTATTCTGCATTAATGCCTGAGCTGAGGGAGGGGCCCCTGGCTGGCTCCAGGCCCTGCTTCAGGATCAACCAGGAACGCTCACTCAGAATCAGACAGCAACACTCTTCTCTGTGGCTCTTCATAATTTATGTTGTAAATGCTGTCTAGCCCTGCAGGCTGCCCCGGAAAGTGGGAGGAAGCTGGTGTGACTGTTCCTGGCAAGCAGTGCAAGGGCCACCGGGTCCACCGGGCCAGACAAGTCTGGTCACTGATCTTGGTGTTATCCTGAGGCCGTGGCAGGAGGGACCTGCAGTGTGGCTGTGGAGGGCCAAGTCACGAGGGCAGGACAATAAACTCAGCTAAAGTATCCACAGACCCGTGAGTCCCAAAGGGGCTCATGTGCAGGAGGTGGCCTCGGTGAATGAAACACCCAGAGCCTGGGTTCTTGTGCTGCTATTGCCACTGGGCCACCATGGGAACCTGGGCAGGTCACGTCCCCTCTCAGGGCCTCAGATTTTCCACCTGTACCATGGGGGGAGCCGGTGGGGCTCTTAGAGACTGTGACAGCCAGGCTAGCTGGCTCCTGGCCCCTCAGCCAGCCCTGAAGTTCAAGAGGTGAGAGAGCAGAGTGGGGAGGGACTGGAGCCATCGAGGGCCGCACTCCCCCCACCCCACCCTGTGTGAGTATCCCCTCAACCCCTGCCTGCACTCTGCCCACCATGGCCTGAGCCCCTCACAGAAGGGGCCTCCTGCCTCTCTGCGGAGCAGCTCTAATAATCAGACTCATCTGTGTTCAGCGGGGTCGGGTGCCTGGCCCTCCACCTCCACGGGGCACAGGGCCTCCTGGGGACCTCCACTGCGTGGTCAGGCAGCCAGTCTCCGTCTCCTTAGGAAGGGCCCGCTATGGCAGGCCTTGCAGACCTGGGTATCTGGGTCCTGTTCCCACATGCCCCAGGGCCATACCCCACTTCTACTTACTACACGACAGACCTTCTAGCACTTACAAAGCCCTCACATCCCTCCCAAGATGTCTCTTCTCCTGAGAAACCCCTGTTCACTCTTCAACCCTCCCTGGTTTTCCAGCCTCTCAAGTCACTATGGGCTCCAGATGTGACCAAATCAGGGACAGAGGAGGCAGGAGGGAGCTGACTGTCACTGTGCCCTTCAGAGCTCCAGATTGCAGATTGGGCACTTCACACAGCTATCTCCTTTCATCTTGCTTAACAGGTGGGTCCTCCCAGACATCTGCTGGGATCTTTCCCCTCACACAGCCTAACATCCTCCAATCGGGCTCAGCAACAACCCAACTCTGCTGACTCATGAATCTGTGGCCAACACGGATGCTCAGGCCAGGCCTTCTCTGCAGGCGCTGGGGCCAAGCCAACCAGGCCTTTGCCACACTGTGGCCATGTCGGCTCCACAGAGGACTTCACGTTTATCATCTCAGGCAAAGCTTGTTGGTCTCAGCCCAAAGCCTGCTGAAAGCATTCTGAATCTTGATTCCATCTACTAAGGAATTCTCTCCTGTACCTCAGTGTTGACTGTTCATTTGAGGATGCTCAATCTTCATCAAAGCCATGGATAAAAGTAACCTGAGCCAGGTGACCTTCAGCCCAGACATCTCTCAGCTTCTGACTGGTCTGACCTCCAGCCACCTCTGACTCAACGCGTCCAAAAGAGAACTCAGTTTCTCCCCCCGCCTCCACCTTGGTGAATGGTACCCTGGGACCCTGGTCGTTTCTCCATGCTGCTTCTCCATTCTTACCAGCAATTCAGCTCCTGCCGAACCTGTGACCAGTCAAGGGACCCCCAGATACCCTCTGCCATCCAGCCTTGGGTCAGACCTCACACTTTTCCCTTTGGCCTCTCACCATGCATGCAGGGATTAATAAACGGGATTGCTCATTCCATGGACATCCCTGACACAGAACCTAGATCTCCAGGCGGCCACTGCAGGCCTGTCCAGTCTGCATTTGTTCCCTCTGCTCCAAACCTATACCCACACAGGGGCCTCAGAGTGAGTTTCAAGACAGTCAGAGCAAGGCCTTGCCCAGGCTTTTCCAGCAGTGTTGATTGCTACCCACCCCGCGACTCTCTCTGCTTCAGGCGGGCCCCTTTCTCCACGCTGACCACTTGGGCTGGGGCTTTGTCCCCTCCCACACAGAGGCCACATCGTACTCAGAGTCTCGCCAGCACTTAGCATGGGGCTTGGCATATGTTACCCACCAATGAATAGGATGACTGGACAATGACTGAGGCTGGGTCTGGGGCCTGCATGACCTCCCAGGACCATTCCCCTCAGCCTCTGAGACGCTATTAGCACCATGCAGCACACAGCCTTGCTCTTGGGCCCTGGTACTTCCTGCCCAGAGACTAATGACTACTGGTGTCTGGGAGCCTGCGGGGAGGGAATGCAGGCAGGCACGGAAGCATGTGGCCAGGAAGAGGCCATCAGTGAGCCCCGACATGGGGCTGCCTACCCTCCATCTAAGAGATCCCCTGGCCTGAGGTTTGCTTTGATTTGACACTAAGGAGCCCTAAGGCCATGTAGGAACTGCCCCACAGGAGGACAGGGTTGGCTGACACTGGAGGGGTGAGAAAGAAGGGCTGGTACAAACTCAGGCTCCAGGACGAAACAGCCCAGGTGCCAACCCCAGCTCTGAAGACATCTGCTCTGTGGCCTTAGGCAAATCCCTGGCCACTCTGAGCCTCAGCTTTCTCAGTAAAATGGGAATAAGAAATACCTACATGCTGGTGAGCTATATGTTCCACCAGGATGATGAAGGTCAAGTCTAACCTGGGTCTGTCCATCACCTCCCTGAAACCCTGGCCCATGGTGCTCCCTGCCAGCCCCTAAGTCTCAGGTCATTTCTGCGGCAGCTGCTGCAGCTGCTCTCAACCACCCAGCACCTTTTTTCCTAGGGCGTGAGCCCTCCACGCAGCCCTCCTGACTGATCCTCCTAAAGCTGGTCGAGCGCTGTGCTGGCAGTGCTCATTATGTGGGTGTGCTCCTGGGGCAGAGCCCCAGCCTGCCCAGCAAGGTGGAGCAAGAGGGCGTGGAGTCAGGTGGGCCTCCCTGGGCGGCGGGACTGGCCAGGCTGTGGGGTGGGAGTGGGGAGTCCGGACTGCACACCCACACGTCCTGTGCAGATCTGAGCTCAGAGGGAGGCCCTGACTGCGGGACAGGGCTCCCACTGCTGCACTCCACGCTGCTGCTCCACAACTCAGCGGCCTCATCGAGAAAGGACACCGCTATGTGCTGAGCGCCAGCCGTGTGCCAGGCCGAGGGCAGTGCGTGTGGCTGAGTGCTCAGTCGTTCTCAGTGGGGATGTGCTTCTGCTCCTAGTTGGGACAATCAGAGCTCAGACTCAGGACCAGCTGCATAATTTGTGGGGCCCTTTGTTTAAAAAGCATTAAGGCTCAGAAATAAACTCACCCGTATATGGTCAATTAATTTACAGCAAAGGAGCTAAGAATATACAAGGAGGAAAGGAAAGCCTCTTTAGTAAGTGGTCCTGGGAAAACTGGACCCCTAACTTACATCATACACAAAAATTTACTCAAAATGAATTAAGACTTGAATGTAAAACCTGAAACCATAAAAGTCCTAGAAGAAAACATAGGTGGTAGGTAAGCTCCTTGACCTTGGTCTCGGCATTGATTTTTTTTGGATTTGACACTAAAACAAAAGCAATGAAAGCAAAAAATAAACAAGTAGGACTATACTAAACTAAAAGGTTTCTGCACAGCAAAGGAAACCATCAACAAAATGAATGGCAATCTACTGAATGGAAGAAAATATTTGCAAATCATACCTGATAAGGATTAATATCCAAAATACATAAAGAACTCATACAACTCAATAGCAAAAAAAAAAGAAAGAAAT